GTGCGGGGTGGACGAAACGCGTTGAGGGTGACCGCATTGTTTTTGGTACAATTATGTGATACTTCTTCGGAAGTTTGTTCCATACATTTGCGTGCGCAACGGTGTGATTTTCTGGGTGTATCTTCATCTTGCCGTTCTCATGCTGACACTGTCTTTGCCGGACAGTCTTTCCTCTTGGACCATGTCCAAAGCCCAAAATAGGGATTCTCCATCTTAAACCACCAGTACCTTTCCCATATGTTGGCGACGGGCAGTGTAGGAGGCCCGAAATGAAAAACGGGCTGCCAATTCGATGTATCAACAGCGGGCCTCCCCGACTTGGCTACCTCGTTACCCGGCGCGTCTTAGATTTCAAGCGGGAAAAGGTACTGGTGGTTTAAGAATTTGCGAAGCCCAAGTTTTTGAGCCTTCCAAGGAACATCCCAAGCAATTAAGCTTGGGTTCCCCCTTGAAGGAGCTGTGCCTGGATCACTTCTACAATGTCCAGCCACTACCTCCGTGTATCCAAACTGCAGTATAAATGAGCTGCTGTCCGGGTTGATAGGTCCGGGAGGAAAGCCGCAGGCTTCCAATCTTTGGAAATCCAAGGGTAAGCCCCCTTCAAATCTAGAAGGGGGCATCATTCGAGGAATCAATGTGGCCTATATTCAAGCCAGATTCACTTAAAAACTACATGTTGAGGCATCGGGCATCAAGGGAAGGGCCAATGTGCGTTCCAAGGCATGTGCTCTTGGACTTTTCACTTTTGACAACTCTGAGAGACAACTCCACTAGAATGAGGAAAGAGAGGGACAATTGGAGAAAGGGAGATTGAGAGAGAGTGAGAGTGGGTGAAGGTGTTGATCCGAGGTATCCTGATGCATCTTGTGGCTCATTCTCAAGGGCGCAAATGCCCCAAGAGCCTTTCCAACAGGTCAAGCTTGTCTGAGGAAAATCAGACTAGGAGAGTGAGAATTGGGAGGACAAGATAGGGAGAGTGGATGGTCAGACCTGACAACGGTTTGGACTCGAGACACCACATTTCGTGGTGTCTACAGTCCAGGCCGTTGTCAAGTCTGAAGCATTAGATTTGGCCTGACTCTTGGTAGAGTGAAAGTGGGAAGAAGAACCCTGCTCAAGAAAATCCAAACTTGGGCGTTTTCACATACTAACGGCCAGTGTCAGTCATGAAAATGGCCTACATTGGGGGCTAAATACATCAGGAAAGCTTAGAACCTACTAAAACAAAAGCGCTTGCTTTCCAAATGGGAAACCTAAGACTGAATGTGGTGGAAAATGGAAAAAAAAGGAAAACAAAATAAACAAAAGAAAAACATGATGTAATGAACCCATTCTGGAAGATACTCATCAGATGTCGAAATACAAGAAATCTCAGTTCTGAATATTGTCTTGTGATCTGTGATACAATGTCTGGTAACCAATAGACGAAGAGAGGAGAGGGGGAATAGACAGATTAGAGGGTGGAAGAGATATCTATCAATGACCACAGAGATAGCAGCCCAACAATGCCCTCTACTTCTCTGGGCTTCCCTCTCTCCTCATGTCAACAACAGTGCCCAATAACGAGCCTGACAGGTCAGATCACATCAAAAGTGCCACGTGGCACAATTCTCCCATGAAGACGTTCAGCAGCGCACAGTATCGACATCAACAGCAGGTAGGTATCCCGTCCACAGATCCCGAGCTCCCTCCTTGTCGCGTCCAACTCAGCAATGTAGACAGTGTGGCAAATGCCGCGTCAGCAATGAAGACAGAGTGGCATGCACCACATCAGCAATGTCGAAGACAGCGTGGCCTTGCGCCTCATCAGCAGAGGCTGGCGCTGAAGCAGAAAGGCGCCAGCATGCAGCAGCAGTCTTGCGTCGTCGACCACAGTGCCAGCATACAGCCAGCATCAAGCCAGCGTCCAGCCAGCGTCAAGCCAGCGTCAAGGCAGCATAGCAAGATTGAATGTTGACTCCCTTGTGGCCGAGCCGTATGTAGTGTTTGATGAGGCTGACCGGCCTCAGGTCTCCCAACCATGGTGGCTCAGATTGACTCACAGCCGAGGGCCTGGATCGTGTACAGTTGCAGACTTACACTTGGTCCGAATGCTGTCTTGGTACCTGCATACAAACAAGTGCGTGTGTGTCTGACCGGCGGCCTGGGCTGGGTACATGCAGACTTTGACTCTTGGGCCGCTGGGCAGTTGACCGAAGTCGATTGTCGGGCGCACAGGTCCTGGGCCAATTTGGGGGGTTTTCCTTCCCTTGGCCTTTGCGGCCTCAGACCGGGGTTGCTGCCTGCTTGTGGCCTTAGGGCCACTTCAGGGCATACCGAGCGGGGTACTGCCAAATTTCAAGTTCCGATGCAGAAATACATTAGCTTTCTCTTAACCCGCGTTCATATGCAGCAACAATATCAGGAGCAATAGGCAGTAGTTCTTTCTTACTAAACCATCTAGCTTCAGATTGAGGTTGAGACTTGAACTTTACCTTGAACTGCTTATGCGGTCTTCCTCTGCCACCTGTAGAGAAGTAGCCATGTTCCAATTTTCAACTTCATAGCCTCCATTCATGGAGGGTGGGAACATAGATGGCTTGTTAGGAAACTCATTTCCTTCTACACATGGCAAAAGTTTAGACGCGTGAAAAACATGATAAGTTCGAAGGTGTGGGGGTACATCAATTCGGTCGGAAGGTCCATCTGCATCTCCAATCACCTTGAGAACTTCCCAGAGTCCATAATAGATAGGCAACAATTTCAGAGACACATTATCTTCCAAGGAAAATTCTTTAGACTAGTGCAATGGCCGACGATGCTTGTTGGCCTGCTCAATCATCTGCAATTCGACTTTCTGTATATTTTAATTACACTTTTTTTATGTCTTCTTCGTACAAAACTACAAATTCTCGAGTGCCTAGGGGTAACCTCTGAATTTGGTCCCGGGTTAGAGCATCAATGAGACGTCGAGGCTTCCAACCTTTATGCAGTGCATGTGGTGTTCTTCGTGTAACTATATGTATACTATTATTATATGCACTTGCAATTTTTGGTAAGTTTTCATCCCAATCTATCTGATCGGGTCGTACATACATGCGCAAAAGTTGTTGGCACAGATGATTCATTTGCTCAGTTTGGCCATTCGTTTCAGGGTGTCTACTTGATGATATGGTCAACCTAATGCCATAGAGTTCCATCAACTTTTGCCACTATAGACTGATAAACCGAACATCCCTGTTAGAGATTATGGTTTTCAAAAATCCATATCCGGAAACCCATCGCATCTGTAATTTTTGAATGACCAGTTCTGTTTTAGCTTCGGCATCAAGAGAATGAATATTGCATACTTTGAGAATCTATCGACAATGACCATTACCTGACTATTGCTATTCGGCTCTTAGTGAGGCTCATAAAGTCAATCGAGATTGACTCATCTGGCTCACTTGGAATTGGTATACGCCTGAGAAGGCTTATTCTTCTGGCAAACAAAACAAGTCCGCATATAGGTTAGCACATCTTCTTCCATCCCTTTCCATTCAAAATGTTCTCTCACATCGGCATACGTCTTCTTAAAACCAAAGTGTCCTTTCGTATCATGGCATTCCCCAATAATTAGACTTTTAATTTGTTCTATGTGAGTAATACATAGTCTTTCCTCGGCCTTATCGATAAAGAAGAGTAAATCATTAGTCATTCGATATTCGGGAAATAGTTCAACGTTTCTCTGTAGGGTCTCAATAATAGGACTCCATATTGGGTCATCCGCGTAACCCTTAGGAATCTGTTATTTTAGTGCATCCCCAATATCGAGATGGGAGACAATGGTTATAAAGAAATCAGCACGCTTGGACAAAGCATCTGCAACCACAATCGAATTTCCTTTGATTGTTTGCAGCTCAAAGTCAAACGTTTTAACGAAAGCGGACCATCTCACTAACTTGTCAGAGAGTCAAGGTTGGGTTTTAATCCATTTCAGGGTAGAGTGGTCTGAGTAGACAGTGAAGTGTCTCCCTAGCAAGTAGTGTTTCCATGTGTCCAGTGCAGCAACCAAGGCATACAATTCCCTTTTGTAAGTTGAGTTGGTCACTTTCTCAGATGGAAGTCATCTAGACATAAACTTTTTTTTTTTTTTTTTTGAAAACAAGTGCTCCAATCTATTCGTGGGGAGCAGCATGCGCTGGGAACCGGGCCCAACGTTCCATATCGAATCGTACATATCATTTGAGGACATTTGAGATCATTTGAGATACTGGGGTCATTACCGCTTCGGCTGAGAACACTCTGATCATCAATATCTAATGACCTATTAAAGAACTATTCATGCATAGGCTGCCACAAAGGTCCTACGAATGCTCATAACCCTTAGGATCCCTAACAAACCTTTCTAAAACTTTCCAACACAGTCTTACTCCGTGCTGAGCTCTTCCAGGCCTCACGCCCCCACCCTGCTGGGTTACAGGGCAACACGACTCGCCCCAGCTCCGACCAGCGTCGTCCCAGCAACAATCTTTGGTTGTCCCTTGGGATGCCCACCCCAAAGCATCCCTAGATCTCTCTATCAGGCCTCACGCTCCTGCATCAGCAGGTTACAGGGCAACACCCCAGAACCGGCCAGCGTCGTTCTGGCATTGAACAGCCGCAGATCACTTAGTATAACAACATTGAAACCGCCTAAGACGAGTTGCTAGGAGCCCCTAGAGTCCTAAAACATTTTTTGGATAATGAGAAGGCTACAATTTTTTTTTAATGATTACTAAACACCTCCTGAAATCCACCGCAATTTTCAAAACACTCGAGTACCTAAGCGATTTCCAACAGATCATAACAAAGTTCACTAAAATTGACTTATTCTCTGACAAACTCATCTAGGTCTCACGCCCCCTATCTGCTAGGTTACAGAGCAACACAACTCACTCCAGCTCCGGCCAGTGTCGTCCGATGTCAGCAACCCCCAGTTGTCCCTTAGGATGCCCCCGCATAGCATCCCAAGATCTCTCTACAAGGCCTCATGCCCTCACCTTTGGCAAGTTACAAGGCATCGCCTTGGCTCCGGCCAGCGTCGTTTTGGCATTGAACAACCACGGATCTTGAATATAACAATCAAATTCCAGAGCAACTTCGTACAAACCACCAACAGACCCTCAGAGTCCCTAGACATTATTCAAAATACCAAGAATAACAAGGGTGCTTATTTTGAAAACTCTAGAAAGAATCAGGAAAACTCCCAACCAAATACAAACAAAGGATATAGAAATTCCCCCCGTCCCCCTCTCCCCCTGTCCCACCGCTGCCTCCACCAAAAAGGACCGCCTCTGATCATGGACACTCCTCATCGGCCCCAACTTGGGACATACCCGTTTCCCCCCCTACTCCCACAAAGGCATCCAGTTCCCACCCAAAGTATGCCTCTGCCAACCCCTTGCCCTTGTCTGCCACAGCTAGGATATGATGCCGACCCATACGTCTCCCCCAGCCCCAGAATAGAGCATCCCCCAAAATTTGCCTCGTGTCCCTTCAGGGCAATCACCTCCCTCCTTGTGAAGCCCTTGCAAAGCAGAGCTCTCCCCCTCAGAACCAACCCCCCCACCACCAGAAATGATTCGTTTATGATTAAGAGGAGAATCAGAATTCTGGAGTTTTTTGTGGGTTATTCCCCCCCCTCCCCTCCATCTCCCCTGTTCCTCAGCTGCCTCCACCGAAAAGGACTGCCCTGATCACACGCTCTCCTTATCGGCCCCAACTTGGGACATACCTACTTCCTCCCCCAACTTCCACTAAGCCATCCAGTTCCACCCAAAGTATGCCTCAGCCAACCCCTCACCCCTAGACATAAACTCAATAGGTTTATATCCCGTATCGCCGTTTTGCTGCAACACAACCCCAATTTCATACTGACTAGGGAAAGAAGGGTCAACAATCTTTAAGACAGGGTAGTGAGTCGGTACATGCTTTAACTTCTTGAACGAGGACTTACAATCTTTGTCCCACAACCAAGGTTTTCCTTTCTTCAGTAGCCTTCTCATAGGAGCAGTTATTAAAGAGAAGATTCTTACAAACTTCCTATAATAACTAGCAAGTCCTAAAAAATATATGAGTTCCATGAAAGTCTCAGGTTGGGGCCAATCACAAATTGCTGTTATTTTCTTATCTTCGGGCCTTAGTCCCTCTTCGTTGACTATATGCCCTAAGTACAAGACCTCGGGCTTAGCTTTGGACTTCTTAGGATTCAGTTTGAAGTTGCCTTCGTGCAACTTTTGTAGAACCATTCGTAGGTGTTTCTCGTGATCCTCAAGTGTCTTGCTATATACGAGGATATCATCGAGTTAAACAACCACGGAACTGATCCAACCATTGACGAAACAGTTCATTCATAGACCTTTGAAAGGTGGCAGGTGCATTAGTCAATCCGAAATGCATAACCACAAACTCATACTGACCATACCTGGTTCGAAAGGTTGTCTTGTGTTGATCCTTAGGAGCCACCTCGATCTAGTGGTACCCTGACTTGAGATCAATCTTACGAAAGTACCTACATCCCTGCAATTGGTCCAACAAGTCGTCAATGCGTGGAAGTGGTTCCGCATTTTTGACGGTGATGACATTCAACCCACGATAATCAATACATATTCTAAGTTCACCTTCCTTTTTGGGCACGAATAAGATAGGAGCATTATAAAAGGAGATGAGCTGAGGCGAATCCATTCTTTTTCAGTTAGTTTTTGTAGTTGTTTCTCGAGTTCCTCAAGTTCCCTAGGAGACATACGACAAATGAGACCTTTATGAATCTTACTACCGAGCATAATCTCAACTATGTGCTTGATAGCACGCTCAATCATTCTCATTGGCTCAATCTGCAAGTCCTTACATTCGTGAAGTAGTTTTTCAATAGAAGGAAGACAGGATGAGGAACATTCACCTACTCGTTTGACGAGCACCATCATCACATCCTGATCCAACTTCTTTTTCGAGACCATCGATCTAAAGGCTGGGTAACTCGTACAATAGAAAGACAATGACGAGTCAGAGACAAACATGTGATACAATTTAATCACTTTAAATTCAGATTTTTCGTCCTTGAGTTTGATAATCTTCTCGTTGAATTTGAATTCTGGGTCGGCTTCCTCGTGCCAATCCATACCCAGAATAATATCAAAGCGTAAGTTCTTCTCAATTAGGAAGGATATCTCATGCAAGATCTTCTTTCCTTTCGTTGTTCGAAAATAACACTTTACACGATCGACATACCGAGAGACTGTGATCGTGCTCTTGCCAGCCAACATAGACGTGATAGGTCTTGGCAAGTCCCTTACCTTCATGTACAGATGCAACTTACGAATTGCCTTCTCTAAGATATAAGACCGCGTCGATCCAGGGTCTAACAAGGCACCTACTCGCGTACGTGCAATCTTAATATTTGCGATCATCAACTCACCCTTAGACTTTCTTTCTTAGCCCACGAACTTCTTAAAGCTATCAATTCATTACCAAGTTCGTCAAGGGAATCGTCTAGAGAGACAGAACATAAGATGGTGTCAGGGTGTTCTGGACGGTGGGCCGAAGAAGAGTCATCCTTTGCCATATGAGTTGAGGGGTTGAAAGGGGTGATCGACGCCTTACCTTCAACCGAACCCCTCAACTCGATAAGAGCAGATGTTACTCCTACTGGCTGTTTCCTTTGGGGTTTCGAATGAGGGGGCACCATGCTATGATGTGCCTTGCAGTGCCGCACTTAAGACACTGCTTGTTATCCATCCGCTGTTGCCACTCTTCCTGTGACAGACCCATTTTTTCCCAAGGTTTTCTGGCTGCAATATCGGGGTGCTCGGGAAAGGAGCGTGGCCTCTTCTTCCTACTCCAAGAATTGGTACCTCCCTTGTTGGTCACCGCAGCAGTGACGTGATCCTCTTTTGACTCACTGTTGCCACCTCCTTCTCCCTCGGCCTCATTAAGGGGTAGTTTTTCCACCGTGTCATCGCCAAAGACGACGAGCATGTGGTCCTGTCGCTTTTGCCGCCACAGGACTCGCCTACCATACCCGCCAACCAGACCATTCTTCACTACAGATGAGTACGTTCCTTTTACGTGAGTAGTCATTTGCTCCCTCTTGAGTGCGAGGTCGTGGAACTGTCTATAGTTGTACTCACCGGACTTGGCCTCTGCAACGAGCTGTCCTCGGATGGGTTCCGGCAATGCTCGCGAGAAGATATAAAGGACTTGACTGTCTTGCAGGTTCAGACCAGGTACCTGCAACAACCAATCAACTTCACGCGGCAATGCATCCACAGTCGTCCAACGCTTTTGGCCGATGGTGGTAAGCTCGTCAAAGGCCTTATTGACCATTGTTTTGTCCAAAAATCTCTCCTTAATCTTTTGGAGAAATTCTCGGAGGGTCAAGGTTTTGACCCACTCAACTATATTCTCGAAGCTAGCAACGTTGGCTTCAGACAAGACCCATTCCTTTGCTACCTCGCCTAGACATGAGGTAGTGAAAGTCACTTGGCTTTTTGGCTCTACCGGTGCATTGCTACAATATGTCTGGATTTCTGCAATCCAGAGCAATAGATGCTCACCTCGCTTTCCATTGTAGGTAAACGGAAGTTCCATCTTCACTTTCTCTTTCCTTTTTGGCTTCTCTACTTCCTTGGCCAACTCCTTTGTAGCGGGCTCTTCTTTCTTTTCCACCGGTTTCTCGGTTCCTTTCTTGGAACTTTCGGGAGTCTCCGGCGTCACTCATTTCATTGCATCCTTCATTAATTTCTCCTGGGGTTCTCTCTTTTCTTCTACCCCCTTGGCCTCCTCCTCAATGACCAGCTTGTCTTTTCCCTTCACAAGTCTAGTCATTGTCTCAATCGCAACGGTGTTACAGTTAATCTTCAGTTTGAGATTTGTGAGGTAGGCCATCAAATTATTCAAAACGTATGCAAGGTCAGTCTTTGTTCCTTCAAAATGAAACTACTGTCTGATTTCATTCATTTTTCTTTGTCTGATTTCATTCATTTTTCTCTCTTGTTGTTATTTCTTCATCTTCACTCTCCGGTATTATTCTATCTTTCTTTTCTCTGCATTCAAGGTTTCTTCCAATTGCTTGAGTGCCATCGTAATCTCTTCAGAAAATTCTGGTTCTTCCCTCTTTTCTTTCTTCTTTTCTCCTTCTTCTTCTTTAGGCATGTTACCAGCAATCGTAGCCAGCTGCTCGGCAACATATTGATCGAGGGCCATTCGGCCCTGATCAATAGTCTGATGCACTTTACCGCTCACTTCCAACATCTAAACAGTCGTGTCAACCTCCTTCAGTTCTGACTCTGGAGCACGCAAGTCGAACTGGCTGCGTACGTGCTGTTCAGCCACCACCTTCCTCATCGGCGAAAAAGGTGATGGAGACGGGCAGGAGAAAGAGAGGGATGAAACGAGTCAAGACAGAGAGGCGCAAAGAATTACAGAGGTAAGGCATTTTCACAATGCGTGTTCGCTGCACAATATATAATTGCATGACAATAATAAATTTAACGGCCACACCCGGTCTCAATCCACTGCAACAAGAAAAGAAAAGAAACAAAATAAAGAAGGAACAAATTTCAATTTTCTCCTATTTCTAACTTTTATTGTCTGTCCTATGTGTGATGACGTCCTAACGAGAGTGTACAGGTACCACAGCCACGACCAGTGTGATCAAGACACAACAACACAAGTGAGTATGCACCACAAAACAACCAAGACAAGTGAGTAGAGTCAGCAAACAACAACAATTAATCAATCATCAGCAGCTCATCCTCTTCTGAATGTCACACTGTGAATGCCAATGCAGCCAGGCACAAGGGCCGACGCGTGGCACTACAACCAATCGTGAAGTTGTACCGCCGCCAGCACACAAGTGCAAGTATCACTTACTCACCCACGGGAGCGCACAAAGTATGCCACATGTCACCCCTGGAATGCCAACACCAACTCTGCGGAGTCTGCCACATCAGCGTCAATGGCCAGTAAGGCCTTCAGAAGGGATGCCATGTCAGCAATGCACGAACTGCCAACTCATCCACCACTAGTATGCCACGTCGAAGTACCACTGGAGTATGGAGCACCAGCAGGTAAGTCACGACACAGGTACATGCCACGTCATATAATACCCTGCTAATCTTAGGATGCCACGTCAGCAACCCTGCGCCATGCCACGTAGGCAGCGCACCATGTCAACAGTCCCGATATCCCACTCTCTTTCTCTCTCTCTTCCAGCGCCACGTCAGCCTGCAACCAACAATGCTCTTGTCGGTATCTGATCGCTAGGTTAGCAACAAAGCGCCACGTAAGCAATGTCGCCGCTTTTCTTCAAAAGATCCACGTCATCATCTTCAAGTGAGCGTGCGCACGCGCGTGGCAGTTCATGTCTAGTCTCACGATAATAATTGCGCTCGTTAATAAACATGTTTTGGTCCAATCATGCATGGCACCTCCCACTTACTTGGGCGCCCCCTGGCGCTTGACAGCAGATCGCGACGAAGAAGGTAAGCTCTGATACCAAATTGTAATGAACCCAGTTTGGAAGATACTCATCAGATGTCGAAATACAAAAAATCTCAGTTCTGAATAATGTCTCCAAATAATCGTGAATGTAATTTGTGATACAATGTTTGGTAACCAATAGACGAAGAGAGGAGACGGGAAACAAACAGATTAGAGGGTGGAAGAGATATCTATCAATGACCACAGAGATAGCAACCCGACAATGCCCTCTACTTCTCCGGGTTTCCCTCTCTCCTCATGTCAACAAATTCATTCTAAATTCATTAGAATTAGACATATCAATGAAATTATTACTAATTTATTAGTCTATTTATTGTATTATTCTATTTTTTAAAAGATAATAGTCTTTTATTTTATTCATTTGATTCTATTAATTAGCATATCTTCTATTTTTTTCTAATTGTAACTGACATATTAGATTTTGTTGGTTCTTCTCTCTCATTTTGATTCTATTGAATTTGAAGATGATTCTTTCTAAGAGAATCTGTATAACGGATCTATTTTTTTTTTTCACTATCTTATCTATATTGTGTTGTTGTTGTTGTTGTTGTTGTTGTTGTTGTTGTTGTTTTTTTTTTAATGTAAAGGGCTGCGCCGCACTCTGCTGCAAGTAATGGTTGTGCTTGTCTTCTTTGAGCTGCATCTCATAATGGGCAACTATCTATTTTTATCTTGTCTGCAGCAGTTTTGTATGTCAATCCACTCATCTTCCTCGTCGTCTTGAAGATAGCAATTGAATCTCATTTTTGTAGATGGTACCAGGTCTTCCCTTTCGCTCTGGTACTTGTCCATCTTCTGCGACTGTGTCAATGTCTGCATACCAATCCAGTGTTGGATATGAACCCTTCGGATGTCATACTTATCCATTCTCCTCGATGGTGTCAATATCTACATGCTAACCCATTGTCGGAGGGTGCACAATCCTCTTACATGAAGCCCATGGATATGGACATTTATGGAGTACTGGGGACTGGAAATTGGTCCAAGAGGCCATAGGGTCTGTTTGCAGTCTGCCTTTGGTCCACTGATAGGTTGCCTACTATCGTCACCCGAATAAAGCGCGTGGTCATTATCGCTGCTTCTCACCTGAAAGTTACCCCAAGTGCAGCTATAATGACCGGGCATTCTATTCGGGTAAAGACGGTAGTCCACTAATAGTCTGCCTACCGTCTTCTATTTATAGATTTTTATATGATAAAATATATGATTTGATATTGGGATATTTGATGTATTATATTAATTATATTCTCTTTATTCTATTGTATTTATAATTTATATTTATATAATTCATATTTATATATTTTATATTTATTCCTATTTATTTTGATAGATTTATATTTATATATTAATATGCCTGAATATATATTAATATAATATAATATATTCTTTCATATTATTTATAGAATATTCTTTCTATATTATTTAGTATCTTTATATTGTCTATTAGATTGTAATTATATTGATTATAATTATAGTTTATTTGAATATTAGTAATATATGAGAAATCATATCAATATGATAACAACAACGTCCAGCCAGCGTCAAGCCAACATACAGCTAGCGTCAAGCCAGCGTCAAGGCAGCATAGCAAGACTAAATGTTGTCTCCCTGGTGGTCGGGCCTTATGTAGTGTTTGACGAGGCTGACCGGCCTCAGGTCTCCCACCCACGGTGGCTCAGATTGACTCACAGCCGAGGGCCTCGATCGCGTACAATTGCAGACTTACACTTGGTTCGAATGTTGTCTTAGTACCTGCATACAAACAAGTGTGTGTGTCTGACCAACGACCTGGGCTGGGTACATGCATACTTTGACTCTTGGGCCGCTGGGCAAGTGACCGAAGTCAACTGTCGGGCGCGCAGGACCTGGGCCAATTTGGGGGGTTTTCCTCCCCTTGGCCTTTTGTGGCCTCAGACCGGGGTCGCGGCCTGTGTGTGGCCTTAGGGCCACTTCAGGGCATACCGAGCAGAATATTGCAATGAACTTTGGGTGGCGGAAACTATTTTAACTCTCGAACCTTCAAAATATGAAGGCAAAGGCAGACCTTGATTGTAGGGAGGTGTCCGCTCTCAGCAAAAATTCCCAGAGAACATGGCATTCCAAACCTCAGAATTGTCCATCTTGCAAAGAAGTGGGCTTCCGGTCTCCTTCCTGAGCTCATTTTAGATAGAAAAGGGTAGAGTTTATCGAAATTTATCCTTTTCTTATTTTAGGTCGAGGCTCATACATCCCAGGTAAAAAATGACCCTCGACCTAGAACCTTGCCTCCAATCATGAACCTATTGACCATCTTCAAACCACCAGTACCTTCCTCAACTACCGAGTCTGATGCGGGAGCTACCGGTAGCCGGCCGTTGAGCATCTCTAAGCAAAAAAAAAAAAAAAAAAAAAAAAACGAGATTCAAGAAAAATAAGAAAGAAAACCAACAACAAATCAAACGCGCGGTTACGTGTGTGTGTGTGTGTGTGTGTGTGTGTGTGTGTGTGTGTGTGTGTGCTGTCTCTTATACACATCTTCTAAAACTTTCCAACACAGTCTTACTCCGTGC